CACACGACAGCCATTTTTAGCCTTCCTTGCGCCGTTCTGACGGTGGCGGCGGTTGCCAGCGGCAAGTGGGTGGGGGTGGTGGCTTGGGTGGGCTGCAATTTGTTTTGAATTCAAGGGTAATTTGGTCCAAAAAAGTTAATTAATTGAGGTGAAATAGTATAAATCATATTCATGTAAATATATTTAAAAATAAGGGTATTAATGTCCTAAAAATTTATTAATAAGGGATAAAATTATAACAAAAAAAGATAACCCTGGTAATCTTAGAATATTTAAGAAAATGGAAATAATCAGATTACTTCTAATATTACTAATAGTAACCACTATTGATATTTGAAGATTACTGGTATTTTATATTACTTCACAACCAAATATGGTAATTAAGTAATATAAGATGATTTAATCCCAATAATCCCCAACCAAATACTCTCATAACATAATTTACAGATTTAAAGTACATCAATTTAAATTCTTAACTTAAAATATAGACATTATCTACAATATAAATTTTTTAACCATTAATCTATTATAATTAAAGTTACCTGGTCATCTTTAAACATTAACTTACAAACTGTGTCAAATTTAAGTAAAGTAATATATAAAGATTTATATAGAGGGAAGTTGATTGGTTAATGAAGGAGATAAATTGACTGACGAGGTGGCCACTGGACGATGATTCCACTTGCCCAGTTTTCAAATCTTTTTAAAATTTATATCATGTACGAAAACGTTGATTTTAATTAAATAATAATATTATAAAAAATAATTTTTTGAATTTATATTAATAAAAGGTTTTTTTTATAGTAAACTTTGCACGTTTGAATTTTTTTTTTTTTTTTTTTTTTTTTTTTTTTTTGGTAGTAAGCACTTGTTGGTTTGGAAAATGTGACCCTAAACCTTGTGTACTAGTTGGATTTGGTTTAAAAAACGTGACAACAAAACCCCCGTTCTTTTACCGATTGTGAGGGTAAGATTTGTAAGTTTGAATGAAATGATGTCTTTATGATTCACCTAAATTCAATCAATCTAACATTCAAAACATGTCAATAATGGGTGCCCACTACAGAGTTATGAATTAATGAAAGTTGAATTGATGAAATTGTTAATAACTTTGAAAGTTGAATTATTGGTAATTCTGAAACCAATGGGTGCTCACTACAGAAAAGGCTAAGCATACAAGTCTAGGGCCACATTTCCGGGGGGTTAGGGTTGTATTTTCCAAAATCAATGGTAGGGGTGAGTGGTTTCGGGTACCCTGCATTTTCCGGGGGAACCGGAACCGGAATCGCACAGTGCAGGTTCCCAAAAAAAGGAACCGGAATCGGAACCGCACAGTGCAGGTTCTTCAATTCAAGGAACTGGAACCTAAAATACAGGTTCCGGTTCCTTTGCAGGGTACCCTGTAAAAAATCAATTACCCCCCTATTAGTTAAAAAAATAACAAAAATACCTTATAAGTTTGCAAATACACCCCTATCAAATTTTGATTATTCATTCATTTGTGTCCAATGTAACTCATAACCTGTAATCTCTAAGCAACACTTGAATTCAATCAATTCATCACAATTCATGAACTTGTAGATTCGCAAACCTTGAGTGGGAACATTTTTATATTTAAGTTAAAAATATAAAGTAGAACTAGAAGCACGCTTAATGGAATCCTCAAAGCTGTGAACTCCTTGATGAAGAATCCATAATGCAATAGTTTATAACTAGAGCGCATGCACGATGGGGATGTACCACCGCCATCACATAAACTTAATTAAATTTGACAAATTAAAGTCTTAATTAAATTTAAAAATAAAATATCATATATTCTTTACAAGTTATATTCCGTGATTGACATTCTGATGTCAACAAAATATTTTTTTTAATCTCTTTTCACATGTTATTCTAGGAAGTTAGTATTGAGGTTCACTGGTTCAGATATATAATGCCAATAAACAAATACAATAATTTAATTAGTGATTGCCCATTTGCCACCTCTGAAATATATTTCCTTATTTCTTTATATGTTTACAGGTTACAACATCTGTTGAGGTTTTTCTGTGGGTGAAGAGGTTAAATATATATATTTCTTTTCTAATTAAGCAACTAATTAAAAAGTTTGATCGATTTAATATGTTTTTAATTGTCTTGAAATGTATTGCAAATCTACTCACCATTGTCTTAATTTCTAATGAATCTACAAGACTTGCACCAGAATTGGCATGTCAGCTGAGTTAGTTACTAATTTTTTTTTTTTTATTTTTATGACTGGGGATGTTTAGGTCAGCTTATGCGCACCTCAGCTAATCCTTCGAGACCCTAGAATTACGGACAAGTAAGAGTTCCAGTAGATATCCCTATTAGCAACCGAGGAAGACTCAAACTCAGTACCTCTTAAATAATATATCCAAGAGTCTTTATCAAACCACTTGACCACCTAGAGATGGTTCATTACTTTTAACTTTGTTGATCGACCTAATTTTATTGTTTTATGAAGTGAATTAATAGTTCCAACTGGCGTTAGTACTTTCATGCAACCTAATTAGCATTCAAAATCTGTCATAAGATTACTAGCTAATTAATTAAGTAGATTATTTGTTGAGCTCCAAGATATTGAGAGGATTTAACGATGCCATATCACTAGCTCATATCATCATTTAAATTATAAACCATTTACTTCCTCTTCAATTTACAGGTTAAAAAGAGATCAATAACCTTTATATTTAAATTTTAAATATGAAAAATAGTCACAGAATATATAATTTTTTATTTTTTTATTTTGATAGTTTAACGTCATATAAATAATGGAATAATATTATTATGCAAATTTCATAACATAATTCCTTTTTAAATATTTGTTGAGGTTGCTCTCTTAAGCCTTAATTGTGGTGGTAGTTGCATTATCAGGAATTTGACAAAGATTGCAATTATTGAGATACAAAGGATAAGCTTGTATTTTTATATTTTTATTTATTTATTAAAAAAAGAAAAAAAGAAAAAAAAAAAAAAAAAGGTGATTTCCCTAACATTATATGGTAGCACGACACATGTTAGAATTAATGAATTCAATTAAGTCAAAAATTATATAAAACTAATGGATCAATGGGACGGGTTCTCAATCAATTTTTACTTCAAATTCAAATTCCGATCTAAAAGTAAACCGGCCCATAATGTTGCCAAGCCACCAGAACTGGGCAACCTTTGTAAATGGATCCAGATTCCAGAACAAAATTCTGAGTCCTGCAATGTTAATCTTGCAAAAACAAAACCTACGAATAATGAAAATGCAAAGGGGTGATTAGCTTCAAAATTATTAGAAATTTATGTTAATCAAATATCCTAAGTGCAAAATCATTTCCTTGGACATGTGTTATTGAAGTTTTTACAAGAAAACAGTGACCACTACAAGAAGAAATAGGTAAAAATGGAAAAAAAATTGTATTAAAAAAAAAAAAGATTAAAAGAGAGAAAATTTTATTATTGACTTGATTACAAGGCAAACCCGTAATAGTAAAGATTGTCTTATAACTCAATCTTATAAACTTTTTCTCATAACCCCGATGTAGCAGCTTGTAATTGGTCGGACAGAAAAATTCATCAGAAACCAATTGTGAGTTGTCACATCGAAGTTATAGAAAAAGTTTGTAAGATTGGATTGTAATAAAGAAAAAAGGTATGATATCTAAAAAGTATATAAAGGAGACTAATTACTTTGAAGTACAATATTGTTAATAGTCAATAAGTAACATTATAATATCTAACTGCTTTCTGAAACAAAGGTTTTGGAATTCTTCCTTTAGCATGCTTAAGTCCACCTTTTTGATCAAATTCAACAGCTTCTTTTGATTTTGTTGGGAGACTTTAATTTAATTGTCTAATTAAAAAAGTTGAGGATCCTGGACAATCAAAGAGTCAAGATTTTGTTCATAATTGGTTGATCCCATAGAAACTATTAAGCCGACCAAAATCATTCATTTGCAGAAAATATTTTTTCAAAACACACCACTTTTCCACATCCATTACTAGATCATCAGATCAAAGTGCATTCCAAGCATTTCTCTCTCTCACATGAAGTTAGCTAGTTTTGCCTTAAGTCACATGTGGAAATATATATATCAATTCTATCATATTGGATGATGTAATTAAATATCCAAACTAATATACTCTATTGTAATCATCTTTGTTTGTTTATGTTATCTCTAGAGCAATTTTTTGAATTAAATATTGAATTCAAACAAGATCATCTAGATACAATGGCTCCAGAGATAAATGGGAGTCAGAGTCATCGAAAAATTTAGACAATAGCTCTCTTGACTCTATATATATATATATATATATATGATAATTGGGAGTGTCTGAGCTAACTAGTTTGTATGCACATCAACTAATCTTTTAAGACCTTAAAGTTAACGACCGAATAAATTCTCAAGTGATCATCCCTATTAGCAACAGAAAAAGAATCGAACTTAAGACTTTTAAGTAGTACATCCAAGAGTCCCTAACATCCCACCTGACCACCCAGGGTGGTTCTCTTGACACATATTTGCCACGTCTGTGAAAAGAGGAAGGCTTACCGCAACTCCATATTGCATTAGATTAGGCTTAAAAGCATACTAAATTTTCTTAAAATATGAACACATCGCATTGTAGAATATTCTAACAAAAGTTAAACAGGTTTTTGTTTGGAGCCCTGTGGAATTATATATATGTATAGGTACTATAACCTAATTTCAAGTTTAGCTTTTGTTCGAAAGATACGTATGAATAAAAAGGACACGCTTTAAATATGGTTGTCCCGTGAATGAATTGGAAAATAAAAAGCAAAAAGATCTGACATCGCCTTCAACGCACCCAATTTTTGACTATGGGATCAGTGGGACACCAAAGTGTTTGCATGCTCAACCCAGAAGCTTGTGGACAATGATGCTTGACAAAATTATTTCGTCATTGCCTTATAAAGCCATACAAATCTCCATGGCGGTCGAAGAATTTCTCGATCTCCCATCCCATCACTTAGTGCCAACGTTCATCTCTCAAAAAGTTCACCCATTTTTCTTAGAAAATACTTGGCTTTGCTTTGAAAATCATGCACTCCATCTTGGACAAAAGGCATCAAATTTAGACGGTATAAAAGCCAATAATATATATTGCTCACTGCGCGCTAACTCATCACCATCAAAACTAGAGACTGAAAGAGAGAGAACCAATATTATATTTTTATATATTATAAGATCCAGTTTTGAGAACCCTTCTGGATAATTTGGAGGAGGAGATAATTATGAGGGCTCCATGTTGTGAGAAGATGGGGTTGAAGAAGGGACCATGGACTGCTGAAGAAGATCTGATACTGGTTTCTTTCATTCAGAGAAACGGCCATGGAAATTGGCGTGCACTTCCAAAACAAGCTGGTAATTATAATTAACCTTTGATTATTATATATTATACGTGCATATATCTATCTTAGATTTTGTTTAAGATTTTGTGTGTTGGATTTAATTTGTGTAGGATTGCAGAGATGTGGAAAGAGTTGTAGGCTTCGCTGGACTAACTACTTGAGGCCAGATATTAAACGAGGGAACTTCAGCAAAGAAGAAGAAGAAACTATCATTAAGCTACATCATGTTCTTGGAAACAGGTTAATTATATAAGACTGTTTAGTTTATTTATATAAGTTAAGACTTATAACTCTAATGCAGTTCTATATATATCTATATATATTGTTTCCAGATGGTCTGCCATTGCTGGAAGATTACCAGGGCGAACCGATAATGAGATAAAAAATTTTTGGCACACCCACTTGAAGAAGAGACTAACTAAAGAAAATTTAATCTCCACAAACGATAATCAAATATCAAAACCAGCAGAGGATCTCACGACTCCTGAAGGAAAAATTCAAAGTCCTGACGATTCGCAGCAACGCTCTGGGCAAGAATCATCGGATTCCTTAAGCATAGAAGGCAAAGATATTGCTTCAGAAAGTAGTAAAGGGCATAAAAATATGGCAAGTCCAAAGGGAGACAGTTCAAATGTAATGGACTTCTGGTATAATATTTTTATGAAAGCTGGAAACTCCATGGAAATATTGCAACAAAATTTAGGAGAACTTGAATGGTAGGACTACCTTTATAATTGAATTCATGAGTGTCTTCTTTCTAGCTATTTCAAGAATAAGATTGTAAACTCGTTATTGTATTTACTGTTTAGTTTTGATAGACATAAATGTGTGTATAGACGTAGATTTAAGAGTTTAAATTGTGAAAAACATGATGCTGGATTTGATAATTGTGCTAAAACTTTTCGTGGCTTTTGGTATCCTAATATAAAACATTAATATGGTAATTTTTATCTTTTTTTNAAACTTTATTTTTTAAAAAAAAAACAAGACAGAATCTAATTTTTAATGCTGTAACTTGCCGCATAACTCGGATCTGACATGCAAAAATTCATTAATTAAGGAAGAATTCAACTACTGTTATTATGACCAAAGATGTTTCTAATGATATAAAGAATTTAAAAAAAAAGGAAAAAACTTCTAGTTTTGAGGTAAATTAATGTTTTTTTATCACCAGAAAAAAATTTCGGAAACAAGTTTTCCTTGGAAACAAACAGAATTAATTGAACGTACTTGTTGTTGAGAAGATTCTTGACAGCCACCACAGACCCGTCTTGTAAAACGCCTCTGTAAACAATACCATAGCCACCTTCACCGATCACATTCTCCTGCGCGAATCCACGGGTCGCAATCTCCAGCTCCCGGAGGGTATACCACCGGCCCCAACCAATGTCCACCGACACGTCACTAGTCTTAGCTGACACGTCATCGCTGTCTTCTTCTTCACTTATAATCTTCTTCGCCCCCACTTCAACGGCAACAACAATCTCACCCTCTTTTCCAACTTTACCCTCGTGTTTTTCGCTGTATCTGTTACGACCCAGATCTTTGATCTCCATGATCTCTTTGGACACCAATGGGATTAAACCTGAGCTGTGTTTGACTCTCATTTTCCGCTTTCTCGAGTTCTTGGCGAAGCAGAAACATAAACAGATTAACAAAGACAGTAAAGCCGTGCATGTTAAGAGAATTACAACGAATACGTAGAGTTTGAGGCCGAGAAAGGGTGTTTTTGAGCTCAGTTTTTCTTGGAAAGAGTTGCTGTCGCCGGAAACTGACATTGTTTCCGGCTACGTGAAACTTTCTCGGGAAATTTAATAATCAGATTGCGTTGGGTTGATGGGAAAAAAATTTAAGATGACTTTAAAGCGTCAAAACAAAAGTGGAGAAATGGAAGGCTTTGATGCTTTAAGAAAGAAAAGGGAAGACAGACAGAGTAAAAAGGCTTCAACGTCTCAACGGATACAAAGCAAAAGGCAACAAAAGAGTGAAGAAGACGAAGAAAGTGTTTGGAACTCTTTGGGTTGGCTTTTGGATTTAATTACGGAAATGCCACTGTTTAATATACTAATTAATTATAATAATTAATCCATATGCTAATTAATAATTATATTCATAAATGACAGCTGTTCTTCTACAAGTCTACAAATATGTATTGTCAAATATCATATTATTGCCACAACTAAATTACTTCATTTGGAATGGAATCTCTCTCATTGGTTTAATTAATAAAAAATAAAACAATCTCATTATCTTAATTTTTTATTGTTATAATAATGTAATTTTACCGAGCATTGCTTTGCGAATCTGAGTTTAAAACCAGAGTTTTTATCAAACCCTACAATATAATTTTTAGGAAACAGAAAACAATGGCATTTGACATCTTTTGTGTGAATTCGGGTTCAAAATCAGAGCTCATATGAAACAATGGCATTTAGTTATATAGTCATGATCGGACTTTAACCTAAATGTCACTGAAACTCTCGTTAGACTTAAACCCACCAATATAATCTTTTGGAAGCGATGTATAATGACGTTTGTTAATGTAGGTCTCCATAAAATGACTCATACGACGGTCGTCTATCTCTCCCAACAATCCTAAACCTTCAAAACGCAAAAACCATTATGATAGATTTGAGAAAATAACAATCTCTTGCTCATTAAGTTCCTTAATTTTGGAACAAAGATTCCGAACGAAGAGTTAAATCTAACCCATCTAATTTGGGGGTTGGTTTGCAAGAATTACAAGTTTCAACAACAACCAAAATATTTTCATGTGACGGTGGCCAATGACAATGAGCCCTTACTTACTTAGCCCACAATTAATCCACAGATTTGAACAACCTCAACAGTCAACAGCCAGTTTGAACGTGAATATCTAATGTAACCTTACACCTAATTAATTTAAACCTAAGTCAAAATGCTTTGTTTAATCAACATTAAATTTGATAGCTACTATACTATGATTATCTATACACTCATTTTTCAACTCTTTACTTTAGTATATTTTTTAGTAGGTACAAATTACCCAATTGAGAAACTGAAAATTATTGCTTTTTTATCCATTAATACAAGATTTTAATGTGTCATTAATTATGGTCTAAATCAGCCACCATGTGAATCATGTTAAAGCTTAATTAATTTTATTGATATTAACCAAAGATAGTTTAATTAATTAATATCTACTTTATTCAACTACCTAGTAAACTTTATTGGAGTAAAATTCAAGCTAAAACCAAAAACACCTATTTATAGACGCAATGAATTTGACCCACCCCTCAACAAAAATCTTATCATATATATATATATATATATATGGAACGTATGATATCAATAATTTCTCTAGTAGTAAAGTGAACCATAAATTTAGGTTAGTTTCATTTATTCTCACTCGCAAAAGCTAAAATACATCATCATCGCCCCAAATAAATGTTGGGTTTGATAGATGAGCATGGGTAAAAGGTAGAATTGGAATCGAAATCGGTTTCATTAGGGTCTGATTCTGGAAAATTAGAACCGAAAATTCTCAGGTCCGGTTTTAGTTCTTGCAGTGTTGGAACTGGGAATAGGAACCGAGGTCTGGGTACCTGGATAGGAACTGAGACTGAATTATAATTTTTATAAATTGTTGGGGGTGTATTTGTCTTTTTTGGGGGTGTATTTGTTCTTTAAAAAATAAGGGGGTAATTGCAATTAACCCAGGTACCTGGAACTGAAATCGAAATCGGAACCTATGTTTCAAGTTCTGGTTCCAGGTTTTTAGGAACCAGAACTGGCCGGTTCCGGTTCAGTTCCAAACTTTAGGAACTATCCGATTCTGGTTCTTTCAAAAAATGTAGGGTACTCAGAACTGGTCACCCCTAGATAGAACTCACTCCCAAAAGCTAGCTCAAGGGAGGAGAGAGATCAACCACATATATACACCATAACAGCCTACCAAATTAGCGACGTAGGACAAATACAACTTCTAATAGTTAAATTTCAAACAAGATTTAGAAACTATTGAATAACTTTTAAAATTATCAATACTTACTTGAGGTTTGATGATTTCTAAATTAACCTTATAAATTAGAGTTATAAGACATCGACCCTCCATAAGTAAGTAAACCGTCAACACTTACACTGATTAATGAATATTTACTAAATTGCTTTTTTTTTTTTTTTTTTTTTTAATTTAATTGTTATAACATCTAAAACTTAACGGCGAATAAATTTATGTTATTTTAGAAACCTTGTAGAAATTTTAGTTATTCAATCAAATTTGTGTATTACTATCATTAATCTATAAATTATAAACCTGTAAATGCTAATCCTACACAAAAATGATAAGATAAAATAAAAGCAATACGCGTAGGTTGGTCCGGACATCCTCGGATAAAAAAAAAAATAAAAGCAATGTGGTCCGAGATGTCACACTCTCATAATACGGTATAAGGTATAAGATGTAAAGACGTTTCGTAAATTGGTTGTGTTACTTGTGTACTTGTGTAGTTGTGCTAAGTTAATGTGTAGAGGCCCCGCATTAAGGCGATGTAAGGTCTTTATTGTAAATTCAATAGAAGTGGACTGGGGACGATTTGTTTTGGTGTTTGTCCAAGAAGACATAAAGGAAGTAGGGTAGGGCCATCAGCCATGGGGGTGTATTAATGATAAAGTGAAAGTTTCGTGAAATTTTTTTTTTTTTTTTGAGAATTTGAAAAATGAAACAAGCGCCATTGCATCGACCATTTCCCATGAGCCTAATAATAAAACCATGGGGGAGCCTGTTCTCTTGTCAGCATTCAATTGCTTCCACCAATACGACATTTACATTATTACCTGAAAATGGGGTCAAGGCTAATACATCTTCTAACACTCTCTTTCAAGTTTGATGTGTAAGATTGGGGTCTAAACCCGTATAAATAGAGGTGTTCATAACTGTTCGGTTAACCCTTTTTTTAAATCGAACTAGTTTTTCAGTTTATGAATTTTTCAAAATCAAAACCGAACCGGTTAAGAGAAAAACTGGTTAATTAGTTAGTAAATACCGATTAACCGGTTTTCCCTTTAATTTATTTTTGAGTTTGTTTAATTTTGTTTTCAACTTCCATATAAATATGCTCCATACCTTACTTGGTCTGAATCTCACACTAAATTATAAATTATGTGTTTGTATGTAAAAAAAAAAAAAGAAAAAGGAGAAATGCGTAAAAGGTGAAGAGTAAAGAAAAATAGATTTGGAGATTTAGGGTTTTTTAATTTTAAACCGGTTTATAAAACCGATTTCGGTTAACCGACTTTGTAACCAAACTGGAAATGCAATTTATGTATTTCCTTGAACTGAAATCAAATCGGTTTTTCAGATAACCAAAAAACCGGTTCGAATAGGTTTTTCTATATTTTTTTTAACACCCTTACATATAAACATGACTTTGATACTATGATAAACAGATTTAGGTAAAACTCATCTATAAAAGTTAGTTTAAAGAATTCACACACAAAAGCTAACTCAAAAGAGAAAGGAGTCCAACTACATATATACATCACATGATAAACGAATCAAGGCCAATACATCTTTTAACACCCTTTCTCATGCTCGGCGTCCAGGGCTATGTCTAAACCCAAACAAACATAATTTTGATATCATGATAAACGAGCTTAGGTACAATTCACTCACAAAAGCTAACTAAAGGGAGGAGAGAGTCAAACCACATATATACATAATAACAATCCACTAACTTGACAATATATGATAAATACAACTTCTAACAACACTAATATTTCCAAGATTATAAGTTATTATCAATAAAGATTTTTAATATTTATGTGTTAAGTAAAATGATAATTAATCTAGTAACGTTAGTTACATTACATTAATGGGTTGTTGAAACTATAAAGGAACTTCATTCATATATAGCCCAACGGTAAAGGCAAACCAATGAGGTTATA